TTATAAATGATATCTTCCTAAAATAGATTATAAATTCATTGAAATGAGGGTCCGTTTCTTATACCTTTCTATATATATTTCATACTCCTTAGCCCTCACAAAAGCACCTAGTATGGTACCTTGCATATGGTTTGCATGTACACCAGTAAGGGCTAAGTAAATATTGATAGATTCATTCATTCATTGATAAGTTTACCCCCAAGAGAAAAAGAGCTAAGGAGATGCTATAATGGATTGTTAAATATTTGATCCATATAGGGCAGATTGGGTCCTGTGGGCCCTGATCAATGTCTAGTAACCATTGAATATGATCATCTACTGGAATGGTGCCAAGCCCTCCCTGGGCCTGCTCCAGTCATAGCTTGCTGTTCACTCTCTCCTTTCTGCCCACAGTGAGGGGAGGGTTCTGCTTTTAGCCGGAATAGTAAGTGCAATGTAATCTCTTTCTTGGCACTAACCCCACGCCTTTTGGAAATTTCCACAGAGTTGTGAAAAAGAATCAAGAAGTTTTTGCCCAAAGGAGACCCAGATTAAAATCAACTGGATGATATGCACTGAATGACTTTAATAAGTTTTGGTTCTGGGCACAGGCTTATTTGCATTTTAGCCAGTGATCTTGGTTTTTCAGAATTCACATTTTAGTTTGGCTGAAGTAGTATTATTATCCATGACAGAAAATGGAGAGCAAGGTAGAAGTGACTGAGGAGCAAGCTGTACATATTCCAACCCTGGGTTTTGCCACTAATCTGAGCTTTAGTTACAGACATGCCAAGTCATTTGGAGTCCTCATCTGTCATCCATATGAGGAGGGAATAAGCATTTGTACAGCACCTACTGTGTGCTAGGCACTGTGCTAAGCACTTCTATAAAAATTACCTCATTTGATTCTCACATAGCCCTGTGAAGTAGGTGCTATTATTGTGCCTATTTTGTAATTGAGGAAACTGAGGCAAACAGAGGTTAAGTGATTTGCCCCTAGGGTCACATAGCTAGTAAGTGCCTGAATCTGAATTTCAATTCAGTTCTCCCTCACTCTAGTCCTTCACTTTCTCCATTGTAACTGCCTCACTGCCTCTATGGATGACCTAAGGATCAACTCTAGACTACATAAGAGAGGGTCTGATTTGGTCTTGAGCTGTTTCATAAAGCTTGGCCCCAAATTGTGTTTAAGTTCTTTGGGGCCCCAGAGATTGGGCTAATTCCGTAACTAATTAGGGGTTTCTGGCTTTTTGTGGGCAAGGATTCTAGACCAAACCATCCACTCTAAACTACTTTCCCAGCCTTTCTACCATCACCACCTGGAGAACATGAATCAGAACACCCCCTTCCTACCCACCTCCTTTCCCCAGCAACACTTAAAAAGATGTGAAAATGAATTGTTTTTCAAGGTCACAAAATAATCCTGGAAAGTCTCCTGAAACCCCCTTGTATGAAAGTAGCCCTGTGTTCTTGAAGGCTGTACCAGTGGAGGAAAAGCTAAAGCGGCTTCTGTATAGGCCCAATGATGTATGTCTTTGCATTCAAGGACCAGTATAGCTAAGTTCAGATAGACTTCTTATCAGTTTGGTCATAAGATGGTTTTGAGTTTTTATTTTTTTGTTTTGTTTTGTTTTGGCCCAACTTGGAGAAACTGTCAACTTAAGTATATAGAGGGGTTGCAGTCCACTTGGTAAGAAGTGTAACCTCTCCATACAATATTGGAGTGAAGCAATCAGTAGCGATGAGCAGTAGTGAATTCAAGCAGCAGTATGACTGATGTCATAAGAATGTAAACTGAGGAAGAAGAAAGAAGAAACCAATAGCTTTCGTTTTTTTCTGTGAGGTTCTCAGAAGAGAGGATAGCAGGAGGGATGCTATGAGAGGCTTAAGGAGAGAAGAGATTTGGAAGAATATTAATAGCTAGCTAACATTTATATACTATGTTAAAGTTTACAGAGTGCTTTACCTCTATTCTCTCGGGTCTTCTCAGCAATATTGTGAGGCAGGTGCTTTTATCTCTTGTTTTGCAGATGAGGAAACTGAGGCAGATAAAGGTTAAGTAACTTGCCCAGGATCACACAGGTACTAATTAGTGCCTTTAACGAAAATTGAACTTAACTTTTCCTCACTGAGGAAGGTCCAGCAGGAGTGGGGAACCTGTGGCCTGTAGGCCACTTGTGGTCTTCTAGGTCCTTGGGTGGGGCCTTTTGACTGAGTCCAAGTTTTACAGAACAGATCCTTTTATTAAGGGGATTTGTTCTGTGAAGTTTGGATTTAGTCAAAGGGCTGCACTTGAGGACCTAGATGTTGCCTCGAAGGCTGTAAGTTCCCCACCCCTGGTAGTGTTTTATCCACTTCAGACCTCTCTGTGGAGAGCAAGATAGCACATTGATTAGGGAGAAGTACAATGATTACCTTCCTGCAGTGAAGGCCAAATTCAAATTAGAGGATATAAATTTGTAGTGAAATCAATCAACACAGTTTTATGATTTTCACCAACTCCATTTAGCAACAAAGCAGACAAATGGTGGCATAATCAAAGATTGGATTTTGGCAAGGCATGATCTATAAAAGATTAAAGAGGCAAGGCATTTGATAGTAGAGGTTAGCGCATAGTTGAACTGGTTCACCAAAAGGTCAACATAGGGAAGAGAGAATAGTGTAGCCAGTGAACTGGTGATGAAAGAACTTGAAAGAACTAAGGGCTAGAGGAAATGGGAGTTATGGTGAGTAGGGAGAATAGGCATAAGGGTTTAAGGCATAAGAGAAGATGAATTGATAAAACATTATCAGATAAAAGAATTTCAGGGTTCACAAATGTGGAAAAAGAACACTTCTGGGTATGGCAAGATCAAAAGTTTTGTGACCATCTTTGCGGTAGGTGAGTTGAAGTGAAGGAGTATGTCATGTGAGTTGAGTGATTAAGGAACTGAGAAGTTAGGATATTTGGAGGGACATCTGTGTGTATGTTGAAGTCATTGAGGAAAGAAGGCAAATGTCCTAAGCATCAATAGATATTCCCCAGGATCTGGACCAGGTGATGTTTGATAGTGTGAATCTCAAAAAAGAATTGGTTGCTGAGTGTTGGTGATAGAGAGAAAGTCTGAAAGTGCCCATGGGAACAAGCAGTATTCTTCTGATTCTCTTCCCACAGTTTGTGAGTCAAGGGGATGAGAGGAAGTACAAGCCATTCCTGGAAAGGGTGGCAAGGAAAACTGCCTTCAGAAGGGAGCCAAGTCTCACAATGTGTCAAATGATGGAAAGAGTAAGAAAGGAAGAGGTTTAAGATGAAAGGAAATTTGTAAATTATGGAGCGAGCATTCCAGGAGTGGAAGGGGCATAAAGTTCTGGTGTAGAATCTTGCTGGGTTGAGGAGGGGATAGTAATAAAAGATTGAGCAAAGGAAATGGGGATTTGTATTTGTACTTGGGCAGGAGAGGATTCAGAATCATTGGCTTAGTGAGAATAAAGGGGGGTAAGGGGAAGCTACATATTGAGGAGTGAGTTTAGGCAGAGTATCAGAGTTTGGAAAGAGGTCCATTGGGGAATGTAGGTGAATAGACTGTTCAGGATTGTCCCTTTGAGCATCTGCCTAGAGAAGTCTATGGGGACTGAGAGAGAAACCTGGTAGTAGGTGATAGGATCTTGTCCCTGGGCTCTCTGCTTAGTTAGTATGCATAGATACACGTGTCCATAAACATAATACATGCATACATATACATTCCTATGTATGTACTAGTGTATGAGTCTATGTGTTTTTATACTTATTCATACACATGTATGTATATGGGTGTGTATATAAAATTTATGAATAAAATATACATACATTGGGAAGGCCAGCTTTTTGCTTCTAGGTGTAGGCAATTAAAAAGATCTGCAGACCACTACAAGAAGAGATAAGAATTTGAACATTTGAAGTTACAGTGGGAGTGGAGGAAAAGATAAGCAGGGTTTAAGAGAGATTGTATGCTGGGAGTGGAGTCAAGGGAGAAGAAAGAAAGATGATTCCAAAAAATTGTAGGAGAAAAGTTTATGCCATTACATCTTCCATTTTAGACATGAATTTGAAGTGTTGGCAGAGTGTTCAGGAGGAGATAAAAATTCTGGGAAAGCCTGAGGTTGGAACTAGAGATTTGGGACTCATTTTCATTCAGGTGATTCTTGAACTGTGGGAGTAGATGAACTCCACAAAAGAGAAAAGGGAGAGAGGGAAGAGGGATTAAGAGAGACTTTTAGGGCACATGAAAGGAGTGGACTGAGGATGAAGAACCAGCCACAAGTCAAAAGGAGCAATCCCAGAGATAGAACCATGAAAGGGAAGTGTCAGGGAAACCCAGGGAGGCAGCGGCGTGGTGTAATGGAAAGATTGCAGAATTTGGAATTGGAGGATTTGGTTTAGAATCACAGCCTTGCCCCTTGGCACCTTGGTACCTCTTCGACTTTGACACAGTCCTAGCCTCCCTGTCCTTCAAAGAATATGGACTGTATGATGGAATCGAGGATATCAAGGATGGGGTGGTCCACAAAATCAGATACTATGACACATTCCAAGGAGGAGAAAGACAGAAAAGAGGCTTGTAAAGTGCTTTCCTCACAGCGACCGTGTAAAGTAGGTGGAATAAGTCTCCTGACTTGAAGTCCAGAACCCTATCTATGATACCTTGCTACTGCTCTTAAGTGTGCGTGTTCACTTGGAAACATTTCCATAGAATTTTTGTTATAAAAAGATAATAGAATGCAGAGCCTGAAGCTATAAGGGTTTTGTTTTTTTTTTTTAAAGGCAAAAATCCTCTGATTATGGATACCCTTTGATGATTTCCAGGGTCATCATGGAGGGAAAGAATAGAACAGATATCAGTCTTTGGGGAAGATTAAGGGGCGGGAATTGACCAAAGTAATAAAATCTAGCAACATAATTTTGGAGCTAAACTTTTCATCTCCAAAGCCTAGTACATAGTAAGTATTAAATAAATGCTAATTGAATGAATGACTGAATTGAAGCTTTGGTTATTTCATTGCAGGTATTTCTTGGTGGATTTTTATGCACCGACAACAGCTGTTGAGAGAATAATGGAACACTTATCCCGAGACATTGACGTGGTCAGACCGAATATTGTCAAACACCCACAAACCCTAGCAGTGAAAGAGTGTGAAGGCATCATTCCTGTTCCTTTTGAAGATAAATTATATTCCAAGAAGAAATAAATGGAAGATGTGGCTGGTTGCAGCCTTGTTTCTAATTCCCTGACAAAAGTACACAATTTATTATCAGTTCACTATTCTTGACCTTTAATTGTGTACCAACTTTGTAATCAACACATGGCGAGTGTACTTTTAATTTTTGAAAGTTAATATGTTAATATAAAATTAATATGATAAAGTAAACTTGGGTCTCTCTTCTCGGAAGAATGTGACTTGTTCAAGGCAAGTTACCCAATTATCTTCAGATCTATGTAAGGCTATAATATCATTATTTTCTGAATTCATTTTTTTCTTTAAAAAAAAAAAAGAGAGAGAAGAGTGTTCAAATTGTAGCATCAAAATAGTAATCATTGTTGAAAACTGGAAGAAAGGTGAATAACACCATCAGAAGGACAGATGCATTGAAAATGCCTTGAACTGCTAGGGACTTTGTTTCCAACCAATCATAATTATGCTGTGTAACTAGGTATAAATTAATATTTAAAAACCGCTGTGTAATATTTGTACAAATTCCTTTTGAATAGGGCAATAAAAATTATTCTAAAAATTAATATAAGGTCAAGGAGAATATTCCATGAATTTCTTCACACTCTCCCAACATACTTTCATTAGGGTGGCAGAGTTTTAATTGTTTTTTTGGCGGAGGATCCAGACTTGACCAAAATTCAGAGAACTGTGTGTACAAGGTTGGGGGAAATGCAGAAGAAAGGGAAGCTGTATTTTATTAACTGTGAACAGATTTTTTGACCTTTTTTTTTTTTTAAGATGACTTGCCCAGCAAAAGTTCAGTTAAATTCATAGATATTAAGTATTTTCTGTATAAGACACTGTCCTAGATACTACAGAAGACAAAGATGTTAGTAGCTTACTCTGGAATAGTACCTTCCATGCATTCACATTTGATCCTTACAACAACCCTGTGAAGAGAATGATCTAACTACTCTTGTCCCCATTTTACTGATTAGGAGCTTGAGGCTCACAGGTAAAGTAACTTGCCTATGGTCACTTAGGTAATTAATGATAGAGCCTAGGACTTGAGTCTAGATATCCTAGTGTCAAATCAAGTACACTTTCCACAATGCCAAGCAGTGTCATCTTCCTTGGGGATACAATTCTAATAAAAATAGAATATTTTGAATGTATAAGAAAAAACTATTCAAGGTTGTATGAGAGATTTGAGGAGAAAGAGGTTGCTTCCTTTTGTGTTGAATTAAGGATCTGGGCCTTGAAAGAAGTCAACAGGCAAAGATGGTGGGAAAGGAAGAGAATATTTCAGGCGTAGGAGACAAAGGCACAGGTGAAGAGAAGGATGGCCCGAGTTCAGCAAACAGTGTGATTTATGCCTCAACCGTTTTTCTGCTCATCTCCTTTTGGGGGGTGGGGAGAAGCATAATAGGTCCAAGATGTTTTGTGAGGCCTGGGTTTGCCTGAATTGTTGGACACCAAATACAGCATATGTGAGAAGGAATGAATGCCTCACACAAGCAGTCAACCCTGTTACCAGGAAATACAAATAGCAAATTCAGCCTTTGATTTCACTGGCATTGTTAGAGACTAGCAGAGAGTCTCCGAAAGTCAGTTCTAAGACCATTGAGAGTTACTGGAATGAACACCCAGTCTTCTGGAGCCTTGCTCCAAAGTCCCACGCCCATCATGTAGTCAGAGGTAGGTCTGTCTGTCACGATGGTCTGGACATCCTCTCATTTATACTCTGAACTGTTCCACTTCCCTCACCCTGTGCACAATATTAAGAATGATGTCAGAACCACCTTGCGTTAAAAAAGAAGCCACACATTTCTGTGGCCAATTGTCCTGAATCGGAGGCAAGCATGCTTTGAGACTAGATAATACCATTGGTATACTTGGTAATTTTCCTCCATACTTGCTACAGCCTGGGGAAGATGACTGACCTGCATCTCTTTTCAGGTCATGCAAATGTTTGGTTTTGTGGCATGATTTAGAAAAGAGCTCGTAAGGAAGCTTGCTAAGTAAGTAGGACAGCAATTCAGTGTGCCAATCACTGGCCTCTGAACCACCGATTCGCCACCTGCCTGTGAACACTCAGAGGCTCCCTGCTCCATAAACTGCAGTCGCTTCCTTTCAACAATAGGACCTCCTCCGCTGACATTTTTTAAGTCCTTTGCAATAACAGCTAGCGTCTGTATAGCACTTTAAAGATTGCAAAGCTCTTTGCTTATGTTGTTTCATTTGATCTCATAGCAAACCTGTGAAGATTGTTATCCCCATTTTATGGATGAGGAGTAAGAAGTGTCTAGAGGCAGGATTCAAATTTAGGGCTTCCTGGCTCCCATGGAACCACTTTGCTCCCTGGTACCTTCACAAGCTAGCCCCAACCTCATTGTGCTTGACTCCCTTCCCATACTCTGGTTTCAGCTAAGCTGGCTTTCTATTTGTTCTTCACACTACACTGTATCTCTGTACCTTTATAGTAATTCCTGCTGTGCCTGGAAAGTACTCCCTCCTCACTTTAGCCTCACAGAATCCTCCTTTTCCTTCAAATCTCAGCCTTTAACTCCTCCCCAAACTCCTCTGTATTGAGCTAGTTTGTATTTAATTGTAATTATTTCCTTTATATTTCTTCTGTATAAACTTTTCTATATTACCTTGTCTTCACCATTAGAATGTATATATTCCTTGCAAGTAGGGATTGTTTTCATCTTTCTTCTTGTATCCCTAGTGCCAGCCAGTCAGTGCCTAGTACACCATAGGTGCTTAATATACACTTATCAAGTGATTGCTCATTTCTTTGATTCTCTGGCTTTTGATTCCTCTGGACTTCTTGAGTTGCTGGCAAAGAAGCTTTGCGTTTGTCTTTCTTGCCATCATTTTCCAAGGTCTGCATTTGCATATCCTTGTCAATCAGGATAAATAAAAGACTTGGTTGCATCAGTAATAAACCCATACTGGTTAGAGATGTGGGCTCAGTGATGGGACTTGATTTCCCAGAGCCTTGATGCTCCTCGGAGAGTGAAAATGAAGAGATTTAGCTTGGTGAAGAACCAAAGGCTAAATGCTTATTAGCAGGAGAAGCTAAGTCTAAAGGGGTACAAGAAAGGAATGACCTCTTCATATCCTTATAAATAGGAAAAGATCATTGTGTATTCATTGCTTCTAATTCATTTAAAATTTTCTTGAAAGAATTGCTGGATAGGGGGCAGGTAGGTGGCACAGTGGATAGAGCACCAGCCCTGAAGTCAGGAGGATGTGAGTTCAAATCTGGTCTCAGACCAGACACTTAACACTTACTAGCTGTGTGACCACAGGCAAGTCACTTAGCCCCAATTGCCTAAACAAAAACAAACAAAAAAATTGCTGGATAATATCAGTCTGGCCTTACTTGATTTGACCTAGCTGCAGTGTAGAAAGTTACCCTTTGCTATAATTAGTTGAAATTAACTCTATTAGCTTAGAGGGGTAGTCAGAAAATTCTTGGCTATAGCCACAAGACACCATAACTTCCCCATTTAAAAAGGGAAGTTTAGGGGTGGCCTAGGAAAAAAAAAACAACAAAATCAAGTTTTAATTACATGTCCTTTTTCAGTGCTTCATGTTCGAAAATTATCCATTCTTTCCTCTTCAACCCACTCCAAAAATACTCCCTTTCTGTCAATAGCCTCGTCTCAGCTGTTTGAAGAAGAGAACTAATTAAACAAACTTACACAGGCTAAGTGCTTAGTGTGTTGGCTCTCCAAGGGAACAGAGAGAAATTCAATTAAACATTAAGTGCTCTGAGCTTTAACCCTACTGGGGAAATATAACATGTACACAGGTATGTTCCTTCTTGGCCTCACTGGGTCATTATTAGATCATTATCTATGACCTGCTCCTCTAACTGTGGTTTATCCCAAGGCTCTCTACTGGGCCTTCTTCTCTCTTTAAACCCTACCAGTGGCCTCTTCAGTTCCCATGGGTTCAATTGTTACCATTAGGCTGGAATAAGAACTAGACCTGTAATGTCATTAATATAGAGATCTCCCAGATGAGAAAACTACCTCTACCTTTACAGGTTTCGTTGTTTTCTCTGCAACTTAAAGTCTTAGTTGCCTACAGTGCTAAAAAGTTAAATGTTTTGCCCAAGGTCAAAGCCAGTCCCAGGCTGGACTTGAACCCAGATTTTGGCTGTCATTCCAGCTCTCTCTACTCTATGCCATGTTACTTATCTGTCTTTGTGCAGGTGATGCTGAAATTATAGCAGCTGTGCCTGAACTCTCTAGTCCTGTATTGCTGAGTCCTTAATGGACAACTCCACCTGGCAGCAAGGTGCCACAGTAGATAGGGAATGTTGGGCTTGGAGCCAGGAATACCTAAGTTCAAACCTTGCCTCATACTCTTTTATTTGCTTTGTGATCCTGGTCAAGTCACTTTAGGCATTTCAACCTCAGTCTTCTATAATGTGAAGGAGTTGGAATCAGTGTCATCTAAGGAACTTTCCAGCTCTCAACTGTTTGCTTCCCTAATTCAACATATCCAAAACGACCCATTTTCTCTCCACTCCCATTATTCCCTAAACTCACCTCTGATTTTCTCTATTTCTGTTGGGTATATCACCATCCTTCTAGTCACCCAGGTTCACAATCCAGGAATCATAGTTGACTCTTCCCTCTTTCTCACCATCCCACTTATTTCCCCTTCCCTCCCCATATCCAAACAATTCTTGTTGGTGCTACCTCTATGTCTCAAAGCCATCCTATGGGATTCTTCACTTCCTTGACCATCAACCTAATTCAGGCCCTCTTAACCCCTCTTCTCCAGTTCTCCAAACTGATGCTAAGATAGTCTTCCAAAAGAATAGGTCTAATCATGTCACTTTAATGTTCAAGAATCTTGGTGACTCCCTGTTCCATCCAGGAGAAAATACAAACTCTTTAGTTTGGCATTATAAGCCCCAATCTGGTTCAACTTCACAGGCATCTGTTATTGTTCTTTTTCATGAAATGTCATTGTTCTTTTTCATTGTCATTGTTTCATGTCATTGTTCTTTTTCAGGCTAACAGACCTACTCATTGTTTCCCAAACCTAGCATGACCTCTCCCACCTCTGCCTTTCCAAAAGAGTGCAATCTTTCCTGACCTCTGCCTTTTAAAATTCCTAGCTTCCTTCAGGGCTCATGGCAGGTGTCATCTTTAGAAGCCTTTCTTGGTATATCTGTAATTAGTGCTCCCTTCTTTCTCAAACTGTATTGGTTTAATAGTAATAGCTTATGTATAATACCTTGCCTTCATTTATATATTATACTCGCCTCCATTTATCCATTCTCTCCTCTAGCTGAATGTAAAACCCCTTGAGACCAGGGGATCATTTATATCTAGGTCCCTAACAAGTATTTGTATGTTGAATTTAATAAAATATAAACTGAAAGAAAGCACTAAGAAGGGACACTTCGAAGAGGAGGTAGTATCTGAGTTGAACCTTGAAGGAAGTTAAGGATTATGAGGTGAAGATGACATGTACTCTAGGTAGGGGGTACACCTATGCAAATGCACAGAGGCGAGAGAAGTTTGTTGAGGCTATGGAATAGGTGGAATAAGTA